AGGACTCGAACCCGCGACCCTCAGATTGGGAGGCGAGTGCCTTAACCACCTGGCCATGCCGGGCCACTTTGGTATAAAACGTCCTCAATACTTATGGGTCTTAACAAGCTGTCAATAGGGAAGTAAAGGATGCGACATAATAACACGATTCAGACATGACTAAAACTAACCTTCGTACTATTGTACATCTATAAAGGTTGTTTGTTTGTAGGTAAGCGCTAAGGGTTATTTATGCAGTGCCCGCCACAGGAATCGAGTTCAGAATTTAACGTTATAAACTCTAAAGCTTATCCTCGAGCTACCGGTGGGGACATACCTATAAAGATTTTGTTTTTGTTGTTAAGCGCAAAATTGCACAATGAGTTATTTCTACCGTGCTTGCCGCAAAAGTAAAACTCCAAATTTTAGCATTATAGGCTCTCAAGCTTACCGCTGAGCCACTGGGAAGACACCTATAAAGGTTTTATTTGTTTATTGTTAAGCACAAACTGAACACAATGGGTTATCTGTGCTATACCCACAACAGGGATCCAACCCCGAATTTAGATCAAACATCATAAATTAGGAAATTACGTATAATTTTCCCTTGATAAATTAACATGCACGGGCCTTTCAAAGGTGACACTAGGTAAGCAACAGGTCCGAAACAATAAGAACATAAAGATTGACTTCTAGGTGTTCAGCTTGGTACTCTTGTACATCTATAAAAGTTGTTTGTTTCTTGTGAAGCCAAATGGGTTAATTGTGCTTACTACATGGATGGAACCTCGAATTTTAGTGTTATAAACCCTCAAGCATACCCATGAACTACCGAGGGTGGGAACTTGTAGAGTTTTTGTTTGTTGTTAAGCCCAATTTGTGCCGTTCCCACTGCAGGGCTCGAACCCTGAATTGATGTCAGACATCGTTTAATAAAAGATTCAGTACAGTATGTATTTAATATGAATAATAAATATCTAAAGCTATATAAGTATTATGGTTGTAGCTGCTATATTCACAACATAAAGTAACGAAAATGATGTTCAGAGTAACCCACCATAGTGAATATTTTATTCCTGTTTGGTCAGACCTAGTACTAGCGTTATTCCAATGCTATGCCAGCCAAATTACTTTAGAAAGTTTATCATGAAGTTTACGTATTTCACAAATCATGTTAAAGTAATAACATGGCATTGTTTTTACCCTTTAGATAATCTTTTTTTACTCACAAGTATTAAAGCAACCATAGTTACAGAAGTAAATGTTTATACCAGTCATAAGTAAAATATTATATTTGAATAGTTTGTTTAGTTATTTAAGTCCATTTTGCATTTATTTTTACATAAAGCAGTCGAATTATAATGGCTTGTAATAACATTATCCAAAAAATTAACTACTAAAACAATTAATATGTCTGGAAAATCACACCAGATTACAGTTTCAAAAATCGATATATCAGTAATTGTTCGCACGTTTCGCGTAGCACGATGTGGGGATTTATAGAAGTTTGGGAGAATTTTGCGTGTACTACTCGCCATGGAAAGACAGTACTCCTATTCTGTTTTCCAATCCATAATTTGCTGTTTTGTTACTGCTTACTCATAGCCACGTGACAGTGTTATCTACTGACAGAAGTACAAAATATCAGAACTTTTGAAATTATGAAATATGACAAACTCAAAGATAAATCGCAGCTAATTTTGACATCTTATTATAAAGATTACACTGGACAACAAAACTTTTGCTACTGAAGAAAACTCAAGTAATTCAGGGTAATTTGATGGTGTTGATTTCAAAAATGTAACCAGAATTTGTCCATCATCTCTAGAGTTTGAGTTATTGTAATATATCAGTATTTTATCAGCACTATGTGAAATACCATGCGAACAACTCAGTACAATAGATTTATGCTGTGGAATTAAATTTACTTGGACAGTTTAATGGGTAAAAGGCATACTTGTTTGATAACATCAAACATTAACTGTATTGTATTTGTGTAAAATTCCAAATATATTGTTCAATATAATTGCAACGAATTGCACCACTTTTGTTCATTCCCACACTCACCTGATGCGCCCGGGAATCAAAAAACCCTCACGTGCTCGGTTTACTAAAACATTCGAGAAGTCCCTCGACTGAGCTTAAAAGGGGCGGAGTCAGACGACTCTCTCTCAGTTGCCTTTCACTCACTCAGTTGGTCACTTCGCCTCGCTCCGCGCACAGTCAAAACAAAGTACGTGATATAATCAAAATCTGCACAACTTTGTTGTTATTTTTTATTCTTTAAACTTTAGTTCTGTAAACATAAATTATTTTACATTTTTTATCAAATCATTTTAAATGCTGGCTGCCTCTTTTCCAAGTAAATTCCGAAAGTGCAACAATCACACAAACAGTTTCTGCTACATTTGTGGAAAATATATTCGTTTCACTAAGGAAAAATATCACACATGAGGTAAAGGTAGATTACTACCGCTATTTACAGTGTAAATTGGTGCCCCCCAGTGGCACAGCGGTATGTCTGTGGACTTACAACGCTAGAAACCAGATCTCGATATCCGTGGTGGGCAGAGCACAGATAGCCCATTGTGTAGCTTTGTGCTTAATTCCAAACAAACAAATAAAAGTGTAAATTGGTGACCAAGAAAAACATTAGGCTCCACATGTTTGTTGTACAGTTTGCACATCTGGCTTGACATAAGATCTGGCTGAATAAGAAGAGAATAAGTATGCCATTTGCAATTCCCATAATATGGCGTGAGCCCAAAGATTATCTAACCGACTGTTATTTTTGCCTGACTAATGTTCCTTGATATTTAGGCAAAACTAAACAATACATTAAATATCCAGATATTGCATCTGCAATGAAACCAGTACATTATGGGGATGGTCATCCACTAGCGAATTGGGAAGCACAA